TAGTACTTCCCCTTACGGATCTCCAGTACTATTTGTACCAAAGAAGGGGGGTACATTGAGGATGTGCATTGACTATAGAGGCCTCAATGCCATCACCGTGAAGAACGTAGAGCCTCTACCTCGCATAGACGACCTACTGGATAGGGTGCAGGGATGCAAGTACTATAGCAAGATAGACTTGAAATCCGGCTATCATCAGATCGCTATAAGACCTGAGGACCAACACAAGACAACTTTTCATACGCGATATGGTCTGTATGAGTTTGTAGTGATGCCCTTTGGTCTTTGCAATGCGCCGGGAACATTCCAACACGCCATGAATCGGATCTTCCATGACCATTTAGATAAGTTTATCGTGGTTTACCTTGGCGACATTTTGATCTTTAGTAAGTCTGCCGAGGAGCATGCACAACACGTTGAGACTGTACTTTCACTCCTGCGACAACACAAGTATAAGGTCAACCTAGAGAAGTGTGAGTTTAGTCGCACTAAGATATTATACTTGGGTCATGAAGTATCAGCGGAAGGAATTAGGCCGGAAGATGCGAAGGTGGCTAGTATTCGAGACTGGCCACGACCTCAGACTGTCACTGAGGTCAGATCTTTCTTAGGAATGTGCGGCTACTATAGGAACTTCGTAAAGAACTATTCTACAGTCGCCTCTCCTTTGACAGATTTAACTCGACTTGACACGCCGTGGGACTGGAGTGATGAGTGCGAGGATGCTTTCAAGCGATTGAAGCATGCACTCATGAATCATGAAGTTCTCATGGTTCCCGATCCTCAGAAGCCGTTCATAGTAACCACTGACGCAAGCCAATACGGCATTGGCGCAGTGCTGGCTCAGTAGGATGGGAAGAAGTTGAGACCGATTGAGTACATGAGCAAGAAAATGCCATCGAAGAAATTGGCAAAGTCCACCTACGAAAGGGAACTCTATGCTCTCTACAAGGCATTTGTCCATTGGAGACACTTTCTGTTGGGACGGTTCTTCTACTTGAGAACTGACCATCAGACGCTCAAATGGATCAAGACTCAACCGGCTCTTTTCTGACGCACTCAAGCGCTGGATTGAGGTCATAGATCAATATGACTTCAAACTTGAGTATCTGAAGGGAGAGTACAACAAGGTTGCAATTGCGCTTTCTCGTAGAGCAGACTACCTAGGGGCGCTAGTTTATGAGTTTGGTGTATCTCAAGAAGTAACTCAATCGTTGGTGGGAGCCTATCAGGAAGACCCTGTCATGATGGACATCATGCGCAAACTTCAGGCAAAAGACAAGGCCACAGAAAGTGAGTTTGTGATGGTGGATGGGTTTGTGATGGTGGATGGGTTACTCTTTCTTGATAAGGCCGGGTGTAAAAGGTTAGTAGTTCCATCGAGTGAGAGTTTGCGTAGTTTATTTCTAGGAGAGTGTCATGACGCAACTGAACACTTTGGCTACAAAAAGACGAGTGCCAATCTAGTACAACGATTTTGGTGGGCTGGAATGCTAGATGACGCAAAGAAATATGTAGAGACCTGTCGGGTCTGTCAGCGGGACAAGCCGCGAACTCAAGCACCGCTTGGGTTGTTGAAGCCCTTACCTATCCCCGCTGGTCTAGGACTCAGTGTTTCCATGGATTTCATGGACACCCTGGTGACCAGTAAGAGTGGCAAGAGGCACATATTCGTCATCATCGATCAATTCACCAAGTACGCTAGACTAGTTGCCATGCCAGAGACCGCCAGGAGGGACCACGTCATCAGGTTGTTTATGGACAACTGGGTGCGTGATTTTGGACTTCCAAAGTCAATCGTTAGTGACAGAGATGTCTGATTCACAAGTGAGCTGTGGAAGAAGACTGCTGAACAGATGGGCAGTCAACTTCAGATGACTTCAGGGAATCATCCCGAAGCCAACGGACAGGCCGAGCAAATGAACAGAGTTGTACAACACTTGCTGAGGCATTACATCAAGCCCAGCCAGGATGATTGGGATGAGAAGTTGCCTCTCATCGCCAGCCTGTACAACAATGTTGTACACAGCAGTACCGGCGCGTCAGTCCTAATCAGTTGCACTTGGGATGGAAGCCTAGATCAGCTCTAGACTTCCTCCTACCTGAAAACCGATCCTCTGCAACTCCAGGCACACTTGAGTATGGTGTGCAGTATGAGAAGTTGCTGCAGCAAGCTGTCGAGCACATTAAGAAAGCTCAGCAAGCAATGATTGCTTCTAAGAACAAGCATCGACGACAGTCCTCATTTCAGGTAGGGGAACGTGTCTGGGTCAAGGTTAGTGAGCTAGGACAGGAATTCGGGATCTCTCGTAAACTAATGCCTCGGTATTTTGGTCCCTGGGAAGTCCTGGATGTAGTGGGGGATGAGATGGATGGCCCTACCTATGTTATCCGTATCCTTGGACACCTACGCACTCACCCTGTCTTTCATGCCTCGAAGCTTGCACCTTTCGCTGAGACAGATCAATTCCCTTCAAGGAGATCGATGCTGCCCCCAACCATGGATGGTCAAGTGGACATCGACGACATTGTGGATCACAGAGATCTGCCTGTTCAGAAGCCATTGGGTAGAGGAAGAAGACCTCCAAAACCCAAGCGGGAGTATCGCGTCAGATTCAGGCATCATACAGATCCCAAGGAAGGTCGATGGTTCATCAGAGAGGAACTGATTAACACAACTCCTCAAGTGGTGGCAGAATATGAGAAACTATTAAAAGGGAAGGCACCTGCGAAGTAAGCATCTCACCGGACTTTCGAAGCTAAGAGGGATGGAATGTGAGGAATGAGCCCTCAAGAAGGGGCCTTGCCATGATGTACATGTTCTGGGCTAAGGCCCCAACAAGCCTAGTGCCCGCCCTAAGTGAAGGCAGGCCAGCAAATCAACAAGAGCCCTCTGTGCAAACATTTCACGAAGTGGGGTCCATACAGTTGCAGCACGCCAGTTGGTTGGAGTGCACCGAGTCTCGGATCTCTGCAGATGCGGAAATCCCAGGGCCTCTGAGTTGGTTAGGCCCTGGGCACATAAACGTGAGGCCGACAATGCATGCTGGATATAGAGGCCGAAAATGCCAATGGGAAACCGGCCCACTATCTGAATCTGGCCGTAGGCCTTGATGAAAGAGGCGCAACTGCATCTCCCGGGCCCCAATTGTATCGGGCCTGGGTTCAGGCACTGGGCCCTAGTCGCAGGCTGAAGGGAGGCCGCCCACACGCAACACTGGCATATAGGCAAGCAGGGCGAGCGGGCTGGGATCTTGGCCATTGCGGGCAATGCCGACACGTTGCGCTAATGCGAGCTGCTGCGCTGCGCTAGGCTGAGGTGCGAGACAGACAGGCGCTAGGCGGTAGGGCGCTGCCTGTACACAGGGCGCTGGCGGCCATAGCCGGGCTGCCTGAGGGCGCAGGGGAGGTGAGGGCGAAGGTGGTTCTTCGGAGGTGAAGGGCGCTGTGTGGGTTATCAAGCGAGAGTGTGGGTAAAGAGGAGAGACGTACCTGGGTGGAGAGGAGGTCGGCATTGGTGTTAACGTCATCACTCGTTGGTCGTCAAGTTGTCTGGTTGCTTCATAGCTGTAGTTGTAGTGATAGGCTGTAGAGTAGGTAGGGCGCCTGTCGCCATCCAAGAAAGAGAGCTACATTGGGTTATGCTGTTGGTGTTGCCCGATTGGGCTTGGACATTGACTCACGATTCTTTTGTATCGTTCTCAAATGGATGGTTACTCGGTTCCATTGTGCTATCTGCTCTTGCTTTGACTACTTGGACTTCAGTGTGATTTTGCAATCTGGATTTCTGTGCCTCGTCCATATTCATGTTCCTTGCAAAAGGTTCGTCTGGTCGGAAATTGTCTACGAAAGGGGTCGTACATTCCCAATGATGTACACAAATTTGCGATTATCTGCTCATCTGTTTCCACGTAGGCTGGGCATGGGGAGGGAAGGCGCCAACTAATGTATTGCTGCAGACTATGCATGGTGCCGGTCCACTTGTTGTGCTTGAGCTTGCCAAGCTTAAGTCTAGCTTTGGCTGCAGCATGTGGATTAGCATACTGTTTGATCAAGAGTTCCTCGATTGTGGCTACAGGTGTAGCCTTCAGCCATTTGTTCAGGTCTATTCTTTTATAGCCTGCTTGCACAGCTTGGATTTCTAAGAAACCGCTTACGGCGGGTTCCACATTGGTCCCTAGGATCGACGACTGAGTAACGTGGAGTGTCCCCAACACATCAAAGTAGGACACATAGAGCTTAGCAGCAGCAGCAACAGCAACAACGGGGTCTGAACCTGCTGCACATCCGGGCAGGCTGTTGGCCACACTCAAAGAAGAGGAGGAAGAAGAAGAAGACACAGTTAGAGGGCCAAGAACGGACTGACACGGGCATTTTAGGCCGGCTCAAGTTAGCAAACTGATGCAGCTGGTCACGGTGCTGCTGCGCCAACAGGGCCATATCCTCGCGCAGCTTCTTGAGTTCATCGAACACCTTTGCGAGTTGGCTAGTATGGTCTTCGACAACCCGGACTTCTACTAAGGCCCTGAGGATTGGGACAATCTTCTCTTCCACCTCAACATCAGTTAAGGCGGGCACGGTACTGAAGACGACTTCATGAGCCTTTACTTTGTCGTCCCTCTCCTTCTCCTTCTCTTCCTCTTCCCTCTTCAATGCTTTCTCATAGAAGAATAGGTATTGCGCTTTTTTTGCCTCAGGGGCAGCGTCCATTTGCAGCGTCCATTTGCAGCGTCCATTTTGCTGTAGATGCAATAATGAAGGATGAGGGTGTTAATAAGTCTCTCAAGAGGGGTCCGTACTTCCTCACACTTTTGGGACGAACACTCCTCTTCCCTCTCCTCACTCCCTCAAGAGCAACACTGAGAAGCTTCTCTCTTCTCTCTCTCTCTTTCGTTTGCGATCGTGTAGACGCATGCATTTAACGAACCCAATGAAAGAAACAACTTGAAATCAATCAGAAGAGAAGGTAGAACTCCTAGCCGGAGTGGCAATTCATTTGGATTGGAGAGCAGTCAAAACAACAACAAAAAATAAAAGATCAGAGAGATCTGATTCCGCCACACAGTCTGGTCCGAACACGTATGAGGTCCTCTCAAGCCTAGCCGGACTCAGCTCCGTGAAGACGCAACAAATCAAATTCAAAGTGTACTACGTAAATGCAAGAGAAAATTGAGTGGTGTCCAAGGTGCAAGTCAGGCGGCGGATCGTGCGGTGAAGTCTGATAAAACGTCTCAGTTGAGATCCCCTTAACAACGAGTGTCCTGGTACGAAAGCATGAACTCCGAGTTCCAATCAGATAGAGCGAGGTAACTGACGTCAACAGATTTGGGCCTGAGGGCCCCTTCTTGTTTGGGCCCGGTCCCACTGAGTTCCAAATGGTCCCAGTGGAGTCAGAACCGGGTCCCAGCCAACAAGAGTTCCACAAAGACCTACTTTCTGCCCCTACCGAATTGAAAAACGAAATTTAGCCCCAGAAAGAACCTACGGACTACAACCATTCAGAATGAAATAAACAAAGCATTGTAGAGAGATATACCATGGCAAGCAAGATACTCCATTCATTCACTCGTTAGGTGAGTAAGCAGTTCACACACCTCACACACAATCAAGACTATGGAGGATGGAAGAAGAACCCAGAAAACCCCAACATGCAGTCAATTCCATGCACACACATATGGGCACCCTAGTGGCACGACACTTAACTGAGTGGCTGGGCTCGTGAGATAAAAGAACTCGCCCCCCTCTCACATAGTCCTCCTGAGACAATTAGCGTCCTCTACACTAGTGTCCTATCATCTAGGAGGGTCAACATCTACCCCAAAGTACAAAGTTGGATCCCTCGTCGATGTTGAAGATCAAAGCAACAACTTGCAGTCCGTAGGTGCAGATATGGYTGCCACCCTCAAGCTCGCCTAACTTGAGGGGAGTCCTAAAGTCACTCCTCATCTTCCTTGAAGTCCAGATTCAAGTTGTAGGTGCCCTTCACTGTCGCCTCTCTCAAGTTGCATCACGAAGTCCCACCTTGTGTCTCGCCACCACAAACATGCACTCAAGCAACCTGTCAGGGTCTAGCGTCGACCCTACACGGCCCTGCCAGGTGGGAGCAACTTCCCTTCACCACGCTGCCCCACTTAACCCTAACTTCCGCCCTAACCCTAAGTGGTTAGCCCTTACCACTAGGGTTAGGGTTATGGCAGCAAAGTCAACTCTCGCTAGCAAGTAGAATCCGCTCTGATACCAATGTTACGATCCTGGCCAATTTTGAAGTATACATACATCAGAAAGTACAATGCCGTCCAATTCCAAAAAGAAATGAATGAACTTGAGAGGAGAGAGAGGGAAAGAGGAAGAAGAAGAAGTAAGAAAGGAGAAGAGGATGATGTACTCCAACATAGGCCAATGACAAAGCTCTTCTTCTTCGGCAACCAATCTCCTCCTTATCTCCTCCCCTTTTATTCAAACAAGAAATAACAATAATAATGTTGAATGGCTGAACCAGAATCAATGTTCGAATCCCTCTTCTACTACAGGCAAAATCATGAGGTCCACTATAGCCATGGCCACCCTTCCTCTTCCTCTACATACAGGCCGAGGCTATTGCAGAGCGCTGAGGGTTCTACCCTCCTGTCCAAAAGAACAACCCAAAGCAGCTATGTTGCCGCCCTTTTGTCCCAAGGTCAACACCATGCAACTATGTCGCTGCCCACTCAACCGCCATGCCTGACTCTGTCCCGAGCGTCCTTGATGTGGCACTACCCCAACTGGGGCCTTCCAGATGCAGTGCCTAACAAGGTGATGAAGATGGTGTCCACCATAGCCAAATAAGTACCTCGCCACTCTCCTCCTTGGTTCCCTTGTCCCTCCTCCTCCTACCGGTAGAGCTCCACCATAGCCAAGGTGGAAGCTCCTGGCTTCTTCCTCCCAGCAGCGCTGCAGTACCCAGCGCTACTCCAGCCAGCGCTCCCGCAGCGTGTCGCCAAACTTGCACACTGAAGAATGAGGTCGAGCTCTTGCCTCGGCCTCTTGATATAGCGGCCTGCTTGCCTCCTGAGCGGTGACTTCCAGGCCGCTCGACTTCCCAAGCAACCGGTACCTCTTCCCTTTCCGGAGGGAAACATCATTGCAGACTTTGATCTTGCCCGACTGGATGGACTGGTACCGGCCTAGGCCTAGCCTACCGCTACTGGGCCTCTAAAAATGCCAACTTTGTCTTCTTTTGCTCGGCCTCGAGTACCTGGCACGTCTACTGCTACTGGGTGCGGTACCGGCCTACCTGCTACTTGAGTGTTTTTCCGCTGCTCTAAGCACCGCGGGCCCCTGGCTCCGCTACTTGGGTGTTTTCCCTGCTGCAATCCTCAATGCCACGACCACAAGTAAGTACTGGCCCTACGGGCCTGCCAAACAAGCAAGTACCCTTGCAGGTCACACACACACTCATGTCGACAAGCACTCAAACAGGCACGCAAGTCAACAGGCACGCACACATACAAACTTAGAAAACATAGCAGAATGCAGGAATCTCAGCAAGGCATCCATTTCATCGGCAGAACTTCAGAAATCAGCAGTGTTCTCAGTCTGTGTTATGGCGGGTCATTACAATTTGCATAATTGCATTTGCTGTTCCGAATCATAATTGAAGATTCCTAAGACCGGGCACTGGCCTAGACTGTAATTGAAGGGTCTCGCTCGAAGTCGGACCCACACTAAAGGAAGGGATTTGCATTAACTATTTATTAAAATGTTGCGTGACAACGTGTTGGCTTTTCAATTGTCAGAAGTGGTATGGTTGGAAAAAGTGCGACAATGAGGCAAGGAAGTCCATGATTGGTCGTGCGTCTTGCGACTTCCTACTGTCTGACAAGATGGTGGTGCCGTTGTGATTGAAAGCCTCTCGAACCTTCCGTAGCATGAACGCCACCTTCGCCCCCTGCGAAGGGGTGCTGACCCCGCCGATTTCCTTGAAGGAATTCGCAAGCGCACTCCTCGAGTCACATCCGACGCGGCATTTCACACCCTCCTCCAGGTATGTGTCCTGAAGGCATGGAACGGAATGGCGGCATCGTACACCCACTGCAAGAAGGTGTCGCTGAACGCCACCTGCTTGTCTTTGTCATAGACCTCGTTGATTGTGATCTGGAGGACCCTCTCTCTCTCGCTTCGGATCGACGCCCGCCTCCACCACCCTCCTCTTCTCCCTATCCCTCCCCTCGTCCTCCCAAGCTGGAGCAGCACCACCGCCCATGCCCCCAACATCGCGGCCCTCACCTCGCATCTTGCTCCCGCCATCTCGTGCAACACGTCCTGCACCTCATCACTGGGTGCAGTGGAACGCGACACTCGTGGCGGTGTACCTCCTCCAACTGCTCGCGAATCTCTAATGCCATGCTCCTCCATGTAAGCGCGGATGCCCCTCACGTGACGCTCGTCGAAACTGTACTCCGTCCCGTTCCAGATGTCGACGAACACGTGCACGATTGCATGAAGTGTCATGCCTTCTTGGATTGGTTGCCCTTCCAAACGTGCTTGCACCTGTGGTTCCCGCGCCGTTTTAGAAGGAGAAGAAGAAGAAGATGAAGAACAAAAGAGAAAACCGTGCGGCTTGCAGCCGCATGGCGACACAAGTGAAAAAAAAGAAGAAGAAGAAGAAGAAGAGAAAAGAAAAGAAAAGGAAAGAAAAGAAATTGTGCGGCTGTCAGCCGCAGGACACCAAAGAAAAAGAAGAAGACGAAGGCGAAAAAGAAGAAGACGAAGAAAAGAAGAAGAAGAAGAAGATGACGAAGAAAAGAAGAAGAAGAAGAAGAAGAAGAAGAAGAAGAAGAAACAAAGAAAAGAAGAAGAAGAAGAAGAAGAAGAAGAAGAAGAAGAAGAAGAATCTCTCTCTCTCTCTTTCTCAGGGTGCGCGATCGTGGCTTCTCCAGCCGCAGTCATGACCTAGCGGCCCCGGACACGACCTCAAGTTGCCGTCACGTGGCACAAAAGCGCGATGCCACGTGGCAGGTTGCTGTTTCAGATAAATGCCAACGTTTTTATGAAACAACACCAGAACGAGGTCTTGCTGCCCCCCCCCTCCCTCCCCCTCCCTCAGCACCAAAATCCACCGGGACCAGGCCTTTGGACGACCTTGTTTGTTCCCCGTTCGCTTTTTTTTTTCCCATTCTTTTGTGTTTGTTTTTTTAAATTCAAAATAAACTTGGCCGGAGGCGAGACCGGGGGTCAAGTTCTTGACCACCGGCCGGATTTGGCCCCTCGGTCATGACTTGGGGGGATACATAGTTCTCCGCATCTTATCCCCTCCTCCTGTGTGCCCCCTCTGCTTCTTCTCCGCACCTTCTCCACTTCTCCACAGCAACTTCTCCACTCCACTTCGGGTCCGATCGTTGTCCTCACCTACTCCCGTTCCCCATCCGCTCCGCTCCTCCTCCCCACTTCTCATCCTCCCCCGCCGGACACTCCCGTCCCCCCTCCGCTCCGCTCCTCCACACATTATCTGCTCAGCCTGCCCCGTCCGACCTCCCCATCCCCCCTCCGCTCGTCCGCTGTTCCCCCGCCTGACACTCCCGTCCCCCCTCCGCTCCGCTCCTCCACACATTATCTGCTCAGCCTGCCCCGTCCGACCTCCCCATTCCCCCTCTGCTCCTCTGCTGTTCCCCCGCTGTTCCTCGCCTTCAACCCCCCGCTCCTACGCTCCTCCGCACCTTCTCCCCCCCCACCTTCGTGCCCCTTCCTCTCCTCCGCTTCTTGTCCGTGGGACCTCATCCCGTGACCTGTAACTCGTGTGTTTTGTCTGTGAGTGCTGCGCCCTATGGGACTTCCATTCGGCCTTTTCCTTTTGCCTTGTCATAGGTCTAGGTCCCCTTTTCCCCCTGTTTCCATCTAGATGCAGATGAGTATTGGGTTGTTGCCTTTGGAGTCCGTCGTAGGTCTAGGCAGATTGTAGAAGTAGCGGGCAGGAAATTTGGTGTTTGTCTTTTCACGTTTCCGTTGGAGCGCTGCCATAGCTGGGTTGGGAAACAAAGTTGAAGATCACACTGCTGCTATTTCGCAGCTCTGCATGAGAGCTTCCACAAGAGTGTGTTGTTGGGTTTGGGTGCTGCCATCTTCCACTTGGCAGCCATATCTGCTGTTCCTCCTCTCGAGGAACTTTGTCTTCTTCGAAGTGCTGGATTTGTTGTCTCCTTCTTCATCAGGACTTCCAGCGCTGCACTTCTGTGCGGGTGGTGAGCTGGCGCTGTTATCATTGGGGTTGCTGGTTCAGATTTGCACGTTGTGACAGCTGTAGGCAGTGTGGGGTTACTGCAGCTACGACAACCATAGCCCGGGGTATGAGGTGGCGAGGAGGAAGAAGAAGACTCCTGCATTCTTCATTGAACACTTGTTTCTGGTTATTCGGGGTTATTGTAAACGTGGTTGTGATTCTTGGAACAAGTACTCTGGATTGATTGGAGTAGGACGAGGGATTGCAGAATTGAAATTCGTTTTTGAATTCTCTGTGTATTTTGAGCTTCCGCTGTGCATATCGTCTCACCGGTTTTGTGTGGATTTGCCTCCTTCGAGTCTACTCTGCAATTGGGAGCGTGTATGGGAATGTGTGAATTCGTTGTGGATTGAAGTTCAATCGGGTATATAACAGTTGTATCAGAGCCACGACCTCGTGCATCCAAGGGACTAGTTAGTTGGCCAACATCTGTCGGGCTGGCGGTTGGCGGTTTGGGGAGGTGCCCTGTAGTCTTCAACGACGTCGGCGGCAACAGCTGTTGATTGATTGGTGTGAATGGACGAGAAAGCGAGTTAAAAAAAAAAAGAAAAGAAAAGTGGGGCGGTCTCTCGGATTGAGCTGACCCCACTTGGGGGAATATCAATTTGCAGCAGACAATTGAGTGGCGAATCAGATGCGGGGTTGATTGGAAGTTGCGGCGACGATTCAGTTTGGGTGCTGACTGACAGTGAGTCAGCCAGGCCCCCTGTATTTCGGTCAACAGGTTGACCGGTGGCAGTCTCCAATCAAGACCTTGATTGAGTGCGTTCGTTCAAGTGACCTGTTCCTCTGACGCCAGTCCATCAGTGTGTCAGAACTGGTCTGTCAGATCTGCCAGTCTGTAGTCTGCGCAGCGGTCAGTGTAAGTTTGTCAGTCTGGTCGTTGTCAGTAGGTTGTCAATGAGTCGACTGTTTGATTTTTCTGCAGTTGACCGTGGGTCTTGAGCCCTCGCACAGACTGTGGTTGCGGTTCCTGTTATGTCATCTGTCTTGTCCGGGTTTGTCGTGTCAGATCTGGTGTCAGTCCAGTTCAGTCCTGTCAGTCCTGAAAGGTCGGTCAGTCGTGTCAGAACGGTCCACGCAGTGTCTCTGTGTCCGCAGTCTAATAAAGCCCTGTTAGTCAATCTGCTGGTCGACAGCCTGCAACTGTTTTTTTTTTTTTTTTCCCTTCTGCAATTGAAAGATCATTCTCCTGCAGATTTTTTTTTTTTTCCTGCTAGAACTCGGGTTTCTTTCCATGCTAATTAAGTGCTGGTGTTCTGGGGAAGATCCAGAAAGGATTTAATTGAATATTATTTTATTTTTGCTCGGTTTGCAGCATGCGGTACGAGGGAATCATTGTTTGATTTTGCTGTTGATCGTTGCCTGCAGCCTCCCTGAATGCCTATTCACACTAAGCACTAATCTGCCATCTGTCCTAACCCTTCTCTGATAATGAGTAAACAACACATTAATTCTGATTAGTTTGTTGTTCTGTGTATGAACACTAGTCTGAATTTCTTTTCTTTTATTTTCTGTGAAAAGATATTCAATGGTCAAGGTTGAGTCATATGCGGTTGGGTGTCAGTAACTAACTGGTTTCAGTCCCTGCACCTGCTGGAATCTGTCCTTCTGGGACGTGGGAATGAGGACTGAACTGACGAACGGAAATTGGCAGATCAGTCAAGAGTGCCCTTGGATATGCCGTCCTCTGGGTCAGTCTTGTCGATCAATGCCAGTCCTATGAGTGAGTCAAAGAGCGGTCCGTGTGAGTCCGTTAATCTGTTTGAGTTTCAAATCAGTACTCTATTCCATATTGGGCAGGATACTATCAACCTTTGACCACTGCTGCGTTTATTTTTTATTTGATCGAAAAGAACCGTACAAAATGGGGCATACTTCAATCAGTCAGGGGACGGGCCCCAAAGGTCTGATTGGACAGGAAGTTGAGGAGGCGAGGAAGGCTGCAGAGGCAGCTCGGTTGCACTTCGAGAAGCAGAAGGAAGGTCGAGACAATCCAAGAAGTGAGGAGGGCAGAACACACCTCCTGGGATGAAAGTTTGACTTCGATGGCGAACAGATTGTCCATCATCGAAACCAAACGCTCCTCCCTTGCAGATTCCTTTGATCGTTTTGTGGCAGTTGTTAAACTATGTTTCCTTCCTACTCCTACTCCCACTCCTCCTATTTCCCCACGTACACCTACACGTACACGTCATGTTACACCCCATTCCCATGCAAGGTCCTCTACTGCTGCATCATTCAAAGCCATTCGCCCCTGATTGAAACGAGATCCAACATGGCATTTACACGTTCCCATACACATGTGCAATGACAAGTGACCTTTGGAGGGAGCAATCCACACCACACTGCATGATAAGAATACACAAGGGAAGCAGACAAACGCCGAAAATAGAATTGAAATTTGAAATGAAAATCAATTCTAATTACCGTCTCTCCCCAAGTCAATCAACAACACAAATTTCCAAGGATCCCAACCACGTTATCGACACCCACAGACCAACTATTTACGAGATTTCATCGCAGTATCTGGGAATCTTCTTCTTCCTCCCTCTTCCTCGAGCTCTAGCTATGGAGCTTGCAAACACCCAACCTATCAAGCCTGCCAATCGCCACACACCCTCGTAAATCCAACACCCCTCTCTGCACCACTCAAGAAGCCCACTGCAGATGAAGTGTCCACTCAGCAGGGGATGGCAGCCCACAGGATGATGAAGAGGAACAACAACTCCATGAAGATGAAGATCTGCCACGACGAAGAAGAACCACTGAAAGTGCAGCTTCGGTGGCAGTTGACCAAACCCCAACAAGCACACAAATATGAGGGAGCGCTCATCAGCACTTGGGAGCCGAGCACAGCTTAGTCACCAATGGAGCTGGCTGGTCCCAGCTATGGCCGCCAGCGGCATGAGGAGAAGATGCCCTGCATACATGCCCACAATAGCGCAGCAGGGAAGCAACACGACCTCCACCAAAACCGTGAAAAGAAAAGCAACGAAAAGAGCCGTACGGAATGGGCCATGCTTCAATCAGTCAGGGGACAGGCCCAAAAAGTCTGATTGGACAGGAAGTTGAGGACTTGAGGAAGGCTGCAGAGGCAGCACGGTTGCAGGTGGAGCAAATGGAGAATCAGAAGGAAGGAAGGTCGAGACAATCCAAGGAAGTGAGGAGGGAAGAACACACCTCCTGGGATGAAAGCATGACTTCGATGGCGGACAGATTGTCCATCATCGAAACCAAACTCTCTCCCTTGCAGATTCCTTCGATCGTTTTGTGGCAGTTGTTAATCTATGTTTCCTCCCTACCCCCACTCCTATTTCCCCACCTACACCTACACCTACACCTACACCTCATGTTACACCCCATTCCTATGCAAGGTCCTCTACGGCTGCATCATTCCAAGCCAGTATCCCCAAGAACAGACCGCCTACACCTTCAAAGGTGCAGTCTCTGCAGCTTGTTGCAGGGCACCCTGGGACTTCTGAGGCTAAAGTGACTGCAGGCCTAGCCCAACAGAAATCGAGGCACCCCAGGACAGTCCAACCTGACACATTCACCGGGGATAACCCCAAAGTGGATGTAGCAGATTGGACTGCCTCAATGAGATGGTACTCAAGGAACTCACTTGTCCAGAGGTTACCAAGGTGCGTCCACTGTGGCCCCCTTGGGAGGGCCTGCACTTCAGTGGGCTACTTCTGAGGCCAATAAGGCCCAGAAACAGCTGGCCGACTCGGCTGTTACAGTAGGATTGAACCAGATATTCAGGGGTTTGGAGGAGAGGTTAGTCGACCGAGAGAGAGCCAAGGAAGCTGCTGCAGAGCTTGTGAGGTTAGGCCAATCACAATGGCAGGGATCCCGCTCTAAGCTCTACGCAGTTTGGGAAAGATCAACCTTTACCCCTGGGTTATCGATGTCAGACCAGGACAAATTGCAATTGTTTATCCAGGCTACCCCGGTAACCTATGTACAAACCCTATTTACTGCAGGTCGCAAGGTCCGGAGGGCCTTTGGGAGAGCAGCCGTGGATTTGGAGGCCAAACTCCAAATCCAATCCACTTTGCAAAGGGGAAGCACCTCCCCTTCTCAAAGTCAGAGGAAGAGTGAAGGGAGGTGGCACGTGATGGAGTCTGAGGAAGACTCTGCAGGCTTTGACCAGAGAGGATCAACTCCCTCAGCTGGTCAAGGGGCAGGAGGCTTCTCATATGATGCTTTTCTGACTTTGGCTCAGGAACTGTTGACTGTCGTTAAGGGTGCCAATCAGATCCACAGACAAAGGTCCCCCTCTCCTATGGAGGCTGGCAAACGCCCCTGTGGACCTCAGAAGCAAAATCTGCCCAAGTTTGCCAAATGTCCAGCTAACCCCATGGATCCTTCCTCTCCCCCATGGAGGAACTTGCATATCCCAGAAGGGCTATGGCAAAGAGGAAGGATGCCGGTGTTTGCCTCAGATGTGCTGAGCAACACTTTGTCAAGTATTGCCCTTCATGGGGCAACCACTACGTTGTAACCTGGCCTAGTCAACAACATATTCTGCTGAAATGAGTGTCCTTTTGTTGAAGAAGGACAAGTGCAGTTTGGTTGTTTGTAACCTACCTGTGTGTGTTCAACTGATGAAAACCTTCTCCTGGTATAGCTACCTTGAGCCTGATTCCTTCACTGATCCCATTGGTTTGTCTGTGCATCCCTTGTGCTTGAGAATGACTATGCTAAGTTCCAGGCTTGTTCAAGTTTCTCAAACACTGCTGATGGACAGACTGTATTGAATTCATCTTCTCTTATCGATGAATCAACCCCAAGATTGCTCTCAGTCTGACAAGAATTCCAATGCGAGTTTACATTGAATTCTTGTCTGACTACCCCCTTGTACTTCCTGTGAGTGGCATTCACTGTCTGATCACGTTCATGTTCTCACACTGAACTGCACTCATTGGATGGATGACCTGTGTTTGAGAGAGAGTATGATTAGTACAAATCTCAACTCAAATTCTCCTACACGGTCCTAAGTTTTGCTCTTTTGGGTAGAAATCAGATTTTCATGTTTCTCCGTGGCCGCACACTTGTAGTGACAGTGTTACGGATTTTACCTATAGAGCTGCAAATTCCTTTTAACCACTGGGCTTTGTCCTAGTAATGTCTCAGCCTGATTGGACAGAGTCAAATTTGTTTGTGACTGAACTCTCTACGCAGATATACCTACCCTACACATGACTCTGTCAGTTCAAGCGTTATTGTTGAATATGGTAAGGCTTAGTCCCATATACAGATCTTGTCAGATCCTACCCTATTCTTCGGAAGAATCTATGTATCACGCTTGCAAGTACATAAATCAGCAGTTGAGGAGTCTAACTGATACCCCGTCCTGACAAAAATTAATCAGATTTTGCAATCAAACTCAACTCATTCACTCTTTTCACGCATGCAAACAGCGATACAGCAAACTGGCGACATGCGCCCACACAGTACTCAAAGATATCGTAACCGGATAAGAGTTCTCTTCAACTGGCTATGGCGGCTCTGCGCCCACACAACTCACTGTTCGCACTCTGGATCACCCTGGATGTCCCACACGCAGCACTCGGTGTCCATATGCAACACACACACACTGTACTACAGCTATGGCAGCGCTAGCTGCCACTACCCTATCGCTATACTACACTTCACTGCCCACTTCGACTTCGGGCGCACTGCAGACCTCCTCGCACAAGCTGCTGAGGCAGCGCTTCCGCATGGCATCCGCAGGAATGAATGAATGGCTGGGCGCTGCCTCTTGATTTATACTTCAGAAACTCGTTGGTCTGCCCTTTGCCATCGGCCCTTGATGCTCGCAGTGCCCCTGTGGTACTTGCTGGACCRGACTGGGACTGACTGGACCCTCCGCTGACTGGCTGTGGACTCACCGCTATCCTACCGACGTTGTACYGCTGTTGCACYGCGGTTTAGTCCACCACTTGCCTCACCACTTGACCACTTGCCCACTTGCCTACCTTCTAGAAGGTCTACAGCTAAGCTTCCGGAACTCACTAAGACTCCTACGCTATAGACCTACAGATCGAACCCCTGCTGCCTATGGACCTACAACAGGCCTACCAACTGCCTACGAATACACAGGTCACAGGTTCAATTCTCGGGGTCTACACAGATACTGTACATGGGTAGGGTGAGGTCTAGGGATCGAACCCTGGGTACTGCATCCACCACTGCTAAAAGGTGAAAACCGTTTCACTCCCGCCGGCCTAAATTCGAGGTCCTCCGWGAAAATTTCAGTCCAAGGCAGGACCTTTACCCCTCTGCTGTCTCTTGTAGGCTCGGACTATATCGGGAGCTGTCTCTAGAAGTTCAGACCTTGTAAACCAGCGGTCRTCCTCCGGTTCTTGATAACTAAAGTGAACCTTGTACTGTTTCTGTGGACGACCCCTACCTCCAGTCCTGAATACATCTTCAGCCACTATTCCATCAATGTCGTATCTTCCATCCATATCCGGTGGGATCATGGACCTGCGGGATGGGAACTGATCACTTGTTTGACACGGTAACAACTTTGATGCGTGGAAAACTGGATATGCGTGGAGGTGTGCTGGGAGTTCTATGGTATAGGACGGTCCATCTTCGCCGCCTTTGACTTCTAAGACTGGCCACGGTCCTCTATAGGTGGGCAGTAACTTCTACGAGATGTTCTCCTCAGGTGCAAACTCTTTAGAACAGACTAAGTCGCCTACTTGAAACTGTGAGGGGCGATGATGCTTATTGGCTTGCTCTATCATCCTGTGCTGGGCCTTTCTGAGGTTCTCTACTACAGTAGCTAGTTCTTTCTCGTGTTGCACAGCGAACTCCCTGGTCCCGGGTGGCAATCTGTGAATCTGATCCCGGCTAAGTCCTTCAAATGGTCTACGGGGCCTAAAGGACTTGTGCAGTTCGTTGGGAGTGCGGCAGGTGGACAGATGCACGCTATTATTATATGCACTAGCTACCTTAGGTAACATCTCATCCCAGTTAATCTGATCTGGCCTAATGTACATGCGCAAAACTTGCTGTAGGATCTTGTTCATTTGCTCTGTCTAACCGTTAGTCTCTGGATGACGGCCAGATGACATCAACAACTTAGATCCATACACTCCCATGAGCTCTTGCTAGTTCTGGCTGTTAAAGCGACTATCTCTATCGCTAACTATTGACAGCGGGATTCCATTCTCACTAACCCAACAGTCAAAAAATCTTTGTATGACTAAATCAGTACGTGCCTCTGAAGGCAAAGGAACAAAGACTGCGCACTTACTAAATCGATCTACTATGACCATGACTTGGCTCTTGCCATGCCTGCTCTTGACTTGAGTGTCCATGAAGTCTATGGACACTGAGTCTCTCGGTTGGTCCGGAATGGGTAAGGGTCTGAGAAGACCTAACGGGGCGCGCGTACGGGTCTTATTACGCTGGCAAACTTTGCAACTGCGGAACATACTCTACGCAGTCATTCTTCATCCCTGGCCAGGTATACGCGCGCATCAGATTGGCTAAAGTCTTCTGCCAACCAAAATGACCCTCTGTGTCATGGCATTCTCCCAAGATCAAACTGCGGATCTCTTCACTATTGGGGATACACAACCGGTCAAAGACATTAGTCTTCTCGAAAAGTAACCCTTCCGTAGTGCGGTAGTTTGGCTCGGTCTTTGGGGCCGCCGTAACTCGCGTGAGGAGCTCACTATAAATAGGGTCCTGCGCGTAGGCTTCTCTCACCTTCTGCTGCAGATCCTTCCCTATATCAAGGTAATGTACTATTGCCCCAAAGTAATCTGCCCTCCTACTCAGAGCATCCGCAACTACGTTGTACTTTCCCTTGACAAGCTTGAGCTCAAAGTCGTACTGATCTATTTCTGCGGCCCACCTAGTAAGCTTAGGTGTCATCTTGGCCTGCGTCTTTAACCATCGTAACGTTTTATGGTCAGAATAGACTTTGAAGTGCCTCCCAAGCAAGTAGTGCTTCCAGTGGTCTAAGGCTTGCCTGAGAGCGTAGAGTTCCCTCTCATAGGTAGATGTCGCGACCTTCTCTGAAGGCATTCTGGCGGACATGAACTCTACGGGTCTATATCCATTGCCATCGTCTTGCTGCAACACTGCGCCTATGCCGTATTGACTCGCATCGGTCGTGACGACAACGGGTAAGGACGGGTCGGCAACTTTAAGGACTGGATACTCTATCAATGCCTGCTTTAACTTCTTCATGGCAGACGCGCAGTCCTTATCCCACTTCCAGATGGTCTCCTTTCTCAGCAATCTGCGAAGGGGCGCAGCGATGGTGGAGAAGTTCCTCACGAACTTCCTATAGTAATTAGCTAGGCCCAGGAACGAGCGCAACTCTGTCAGCGTACGTGGCGTGGGCCAATCTCTAATCGCTGCGATCTTGCTATCTTCTGGCTTCACGCCGTCTCCGTCTAAGACGTGGCCTAGGTACAGAACTTGGGTCTTTGCCCAATCGCACTTCTTTGCATTGATCTTGAAGTTAGCTTCCCTCAGCTTCTCCAAGACCTGCYTKAGATGACCCTGATGCTCTTCGAGGGTCCTACTAAACACTAAAATGTCATCTAGATAAACTACAACAAATTTGTCTAACCACGGCCTAAACAAATCGTTCATACAGCGCTGGAACGTAGCTGGCGCATTGGTTAGTCCAAAGGGCATCACTATGAACTCGTAGTGCCCATATCTAGTCCGGAAGGCCGTCTTGTACTGATCATCAGGATGCACCTCTATCTGATGATATCCRGACTTCAAATCTATCTYGGAGAAATACTTCGCCCCCTGCACTCGATCTAARAGATCGTCTATYCTAGGCAGTGGCTCAGCATTCTTCACKGTAATGGCATTCAGACCCCTATAGTCTATAYACATCCTCAGCTCTCCCTCTTTCTTAGGGACAAAGAGAACAGGGGCTCCAAAAGGAGACGAACTGGGCCTAATCCAACCCTTTTCAAGGAGCTCGTCCAACTGCTTCCGTAGCTCCTCTAGCTCCCGTGGGGACATCCTATACACAGCACCCTTAGGAGTTCTACTGCCAGGCTCTATCTCAATACGGTGCTGGATGGGCCGCGACACCGTTATTGTCGGCGGCTCAGTCAAATCCTTAAACTCTTCCAGCAATTTGGCAATAGCAGGGTCTACGGGCTTCTCTGCCTTAGGCTCAGTGACTGGCCTAACATAGGCAACAAAGACCTGTTCCTCTAATTTCTCCTTCTTCACCAATCTGGCGAACGCAGGGGCACTAAGGCAGCAATGCGCCAAGGAATTCTCTACCCCGGACACATGGAACAGGCGGKCAGTCTTAGCCTCRCCTGACGAACTAGGGAGCCTACACTCGTGCTCCTTCAAATGGAGCGTGGCCCCGGCTGCCTCTCCCCAATCCATTCCCAGGACAATATCAAATGGGAGGCTGTCTTCTACGAGGAGAGTTAGGGAGTGGAGGACCTTCTCCACCTTCCCATCTTTCTCTAGGCGGAAATACGCCTGGATTCCCTCTACGTAATCCTCTACAACCATGGTACGATTGTCCGCGAGGATACTAACTATGGGGTCTGTCAGTTTCTGGACTTTAAGTCCCAGCCTCAACTTCTGCAGTGCTTTCTTACTAATATAGCTGCGGGTGGCCCCTGAGTCTACTAGGGCCCCTACTCTACTTCTAAAAATCTCTGCATCTAATAAAATTGGCTGCCCTTTATTCTCCTTCTTCATCTTGGCCCAGGCGGGCCTTCTTTCCTTCAACTCTTCGGCTACGCTTGTGAGGGAGGTGTCTAGCGAAACTCTAACACAAGCAGTTTCGGGACAGCTGTCTAGACACCGGACTGCAACCTCTGTATAGGCACATGTGGTGTGGGAGTCTCCTGCCGGCTAGCGCTATGTTCCCCACATGGCCTAGTGGTAGGGGCAATTGCTACACCTACCCGCGGCTGCCTTTTGGCCCTTGGGCAGCCGTTCGGGTCTCTCGATACTTAAGACAGTATTTGATGATGTGGCCCGGGTCACCGCAGAAAATGCACTGGCCCCGGTCCAATCGTTGTTGCCATAAAGTCTGGTCCAGACCCAAAGATTCCCAAGGCCTACCCTGAGGTAGCCCTGGGTGCCATCCTCCTACCCTATAGGGAGACCTGTTTCTAGGACGGTTTCGCGGGGGACCTTGACCCCTGCCTCCCGCTTGGCGGTTTCCTCCTCTGCCGCCAACCCCTTGATCGCCCTGAAATCGGCTCCCTGAGGCCCGGCCCCCTTGGCCCTGGCCTCGTCCTCCTCCTTGCGGCCTCCCTCCGACCGCGACAGCAGCGTAAGTTCTCCCCTGACCCACACCGCTGTCATCYTCCTCTAACCCCCASTCAATCTGGTCGTAGGGGACCTCATCCACACTACCCTCATCTAGAGTTAGGACAAGGCTATCCTTAGTCTTCACCTGCCCTGAGATAGTGCGGCCTTTCCATTGTTTTCCCTTGTCCAAGTCTTTGTGCCAGAAGGTAGACACAGATGCAGACTTGGCTTCAAAGGCCACCACCTCACGACTAAGAGAATCATAGGTAGTGGCCGGATCTTCGCTCTTCGCAAAGAAGTGCCCTCGCAAGGCTTCGGGGATAGCCCGGTAGAAGAGGCCGACCAATTGGGTGTTTGTGACCCCATGGTCAGGAACAACGATTAGTTCATCCATCGTGCTCTTGAGTGCCCTGGCACTCTTCCACTTACGAGCGTGGATTGTCTGGAGCCTATCTGAGGCCTTGACACTTCGAGCGACATCTGCAAATCGCTCGCGCAACAATCTCATAAACTCAGTGAGGGAGGTAAAGGACGAATAGGCAACTAGATCGTCATTGCAGTTAGCGGCGCGCACTAGGGACCTTGCAAAACTGGCGGCCTCATCTTTAAGCGAGTGGATCGCGATCAGGACATGCTGATCTGGGGAGACCTGTTGCAGATGCACATAGGTCTTAATGTTGGCTTCCCAATTGTCAAAGTTCTCTTCCCTTTTCCCGCTATAGGAATCTGGGAATTTGACCTTGACTGGCTCTCTACGCGGCGGGCGTGGTTCCTCCTACTTGGGAGCTGCCACTTTGACGCCTTCAATGGCGCCGACGCAGAAACGCTCTGTCTTCTCGAGGCGATGATTGACCTCGGCTCCTACGGCTCCTATCAGTTCGCGCGCAAAGTCCCGGAATCCCATTCGCATGGAGCGCACAGCTATGTCCTGGCTTCGGCTAAATTCGTACTGTTGCTCTTGTATCTTTGCTAACCGCTCAATGCTCTGGGCAAAGATCTCTACCTTTCGTTTGAGGTCTACCTGAGGGGTCAGCTTTAGACTTAGTTTCTGCACTTCTTCTAATTCCTTGACCGCCTCACTCGCCGCCTCCACCCTTCTCTTCTTTTCTCTCATCATCGCGAGCTTCCACTCCATCCGCTCCTCATCCTCCATCGCCTGCCGCTTCAGCACATCCTTTTCTGCTTCCCATTTCTTCAGGGCGGCTTCCTGGTCATCCTTGGGGATATACATAGCCACTTCTTCTTCCTCCCCCAAGGACAAATTAGCGACCCACTCTGAGATCCGTTTCTCCATCTCCGCGTCTGTGCTGCCACTGTACTGCACTCCCTTCCTTTGCAGTGGCATTTCATCTTCTTCCTCTTCCATCTTTTTCAACTACTGCTCTTCTTCCTTTTTCAATCTTTCCTTCTCCCTGGCCATCTCCTCCTCTATCTTTCTTAACTTTGCCGCCTGCTCCTCCTGCAGGGCCTTCTTCTTCGCCTCCATCTTCTCTTTTCTCTCCTGCAGGATGGCGGTCATCTTTGCCTCCTCCTCCTTTGTGTACGGCATAGTGGAGGTGCCGCCCCGGGTGTCTACCATGGTGGTGTCAGGTGCACGACAAAGGTCCCACTCCTCACCACTTGGACCTACCCGGACACAAACCTACTAACCGACTTCCGAAGGACCACAAGATAAGACCCTATCAACTATGGTCACTAACCCAAGACTACTCTAAGGCTGTCACTACTGAACCAAGAGCTGATCAGGAGGCATTTAAGGAGATCCCTCGTAACTCCTCAAGAATTCTTTAACGTCCTGATCAGCTTGGTTCCTCTGGCGATTTCAGCCCACAACTCAGCCGTTCCAGCCTACTGTGCCACACCGAGCAGCCCGCCGGTCTGTACCGGTCTTTGGAGGGGTTCGTATCCCTCGGGACAGTCGAGTCGTTAGACACAGATCATCAGCCTTACTAGGTCCGGTAGGGGAGTGGCTCAACCAGGCCTCAACACTTAAAGACGGCCTTTGTTTCAGCCTACAGCTCGGAGTTCAGACCCTCCACACTGAACTCAGTAGACCTGCCGGACAGTACCGGTCATTGGGCTAGACGAGTTGTTTAACGAGCGCTCGCCGCTCATGCCCAGGTCTCCTGATGCCAGAGTAGAGATTAGTCCTACTAAGCCCCGTGCAGGTTTGGCAGCAAGGCCCTATCCTTCATCCACAGAGTCCTATCACCTAAGACAGAAGAGACTCAATGCAGAAAGAGAGACAGACAGACTCAACAAGTACCGTGGGGTAAGTGCACATCCACAGGGTAAGGGAATAGGCTGTAAGGTCAACGAGATATCACCAACTCCAGCTTGGTCAAAATCTTGGCCGGCAGCTCTGGTCAACGCCTTGGTCAACGCTGAGTCAATGCGGCAACCCCCAATCAACGCTTGGTCAACCACCTTGGTCAACGCCTAGTCAACCCTCTGATCAACCCTTCGTCAACCCTCTGGTCAACGGTCTGGTCAACGCCCGGTCAACCCTCACCTCGGCTATGGCTGCCGACACCTTCACCTTCGTCACCCTCGCCGTCTACTTCCCCTTCCTTCACTTTCTTTCTTCTTCTCTTTCGCTGTTTTTTTTTTTGTTTTTTTTTTTGTGCTCGCCCCCGGCTATGTCTGTCTTCTTCTTCAATCTCCTCCTCCCACACTTCTTCTTCTCTCTCCTTAGTCCCTCCTTCTCTGTCCCCCCTTTCTCTCCTCCGGTACTCCGTGTCAATACTCCGCGGCTATGGCCACCGTCTTCCTTCTCCACCGGACTCCACAGCTCGCCTCACAGGTAAGTGACAACCAATCTTGGATCGCTCATCTCTCTCTCTCTCTCTCTCTCTCTCTCTCTCTCTCTCTCTCTCTCTCTCTCTCTCTCTCT